TGCCAGATGTTCAGTCTAGACCCAAAACAAAACAAGTTCTATGGCCCAGAATGTGTGCCTAGCATTCATAGCTAACTGAATTTAAAGTTATAAATCATTCCCTCGTTCTCCAATGCATGGCATGCTGGGGTTGCCGGATGCCGCTGTACCAGCGACACCTCCCGCATCAAGCTGCGCCCACAAGCACAACTGGGATCTGATTGTGAATGATGTGGTTTTCTCATGATATTGGACAATCTCTGGCTAGTGAAAACGAAAACTGGTCTTTCATGTTGAAGATATTGGAACAAGCTTCAGCCAAAGGCGTATGACATTTTTGTTTTGCAGGCTGGTAGAGGTCCACTATCCCCAGATTTTCTTCAGATGGGTGGTGTCTTGCGACTGGCACTGCGCCTCCACATTCTTGTATGAAACAGTGTTGCACAATGTGTTTGGTTCAAGTGTCATCGATAGCAAGCTTGAGACACACACGGGACAGTAGCAGGCTTGAGACACAAATGGAATGAACACAATTTTGAGACGCATACGGGATGAGAACAGTTTGAGACATCACATTTTTAGGTCGACCTGGAGGGTACATTTTGCACTTCCTGTAAAGAGCCAACATTTGTTCCTCATGAAATGGCACTGTTGTATTTGTTGTTGACTTGTAAATTCAAGGGTATATTGACTGATTTGATTACTTGATTGATGTTGTTGATTGAATTGTTTGTTGGATCGATTTGCATTGAATGAATGATTGTTGACTGTCTAGGCCAACTGACTGCATGACAAAGCATACTGCAAGTGGACACATCTTGGATCAAAACTGTGGCTATGGGAATCTGCAGAAGCAGCAGTTGCCCAAAGTCTGACAAAGACACCCACAAACCTGAAGTGTGATGAGAGCAGTTCTTGACGGCTTGTTGAGCGCTGGCTTTCTGATGCCCAGGTTCGAGCGTACCTGAAGAGGCCTTGTCACAAGTGCGTCGGCACTCAGCCAGAGTGGTGGGGTCAGTTGACGAAAAAGATGTGGACACGATGGCCAGTTGGAAAGCCAAGGTGAGGACCAGGCCTGCCAGTGCACCCTTGGAAATATTCCCAAATCATGGGCAACCAACTATGCAGATGAACATGAAGTTGTGGCCGTCAGCTCCATCTGCAGCACAGAATGGCAGGGTCATTTTCCCCCACAGCACGCAATTTTCCATAGCTGGCAACAGGACAAGGCAGTGACGACTTGCATCTGGTCTTGTTGTGGTTCACAAGAGCAGGGAAAATTTTGCACAGGACAGCACCACCCTTGTCACATGCACCCTCTTGATTGCAGTTGACGATGTGAGAACAATGCATACATAAAGAAACAGCTGCCCGTCATCATTGGTGGAATTGTCACCAATGTGTCACATTCTGCACTGAAGATCGACATTTCATCTTTCAACTGTATTTGACACCAACAGATGCCCACCACTCAACCAACATGGTGAAAATCGGCCTAGTTGTTTTCTTACAACGAGCGAACACTGCAACCTGCAAGTGCAGCTGAGTGTCTGGGGTGGAACTGTATGCATTTGTGCCAGTCAGTTTCAGTACCTGCAAATTGGCACCAGCACTTCTATGCCAGTAAATCTAAAACACTGCCTTATTTCAGGGAATGAAACTGGATCAGCAGCCTCAAATTGAATTCGTTCTGATCGGGATGGCATGGTGGCTGGCTGCAGGATGGCTCCCCCACCATTGGATCCTGAGACACCTGTCACCCTCAAACAAGAAAGAAGGCGGTGCTGGACGTCTCTGCGACGCATCAAAATGCATGAGAACGTGGCTGTGCTGTTTGACTGCAGAGGCACGAGGTGCTTGGCGTCCATAAATAAAGAATGGTTTCTGAAGAGGTCTCTAAATGGTTTCCGGGGCGCGCATCTTTCCTGGCGGACTGAGGGCACTGGGTCGCCAACTACAGACATGGCAGGTTGGGCAGGTGGCTTGTTTGTCGCATGATGATTGCATCATCAGGCATTGCACTGATCCTTGAGTGGCTGAAGCTATGCCCATCCACTGAGGGTGTTGCCTGATCCCCTCAGAGGGTGCTCAGCAATGGCCAGAATGAGGTGTGGCAGTGGCAGCCCCGCTGGCTGGGTCTAACAGCCACTGCCACGTAGTGTGGAAATTCATGAACGCAGGGGCCTTCGCAGGGCTGCTTGTGTGGAGGCCCCTACGTCGCCAAATGAGATAGTGTCTCAGTTTCAGAGATATGCATCACCCGACTGATGGCAAGTGTGCAGCTGCTGGTACTGCCACTGATGCACCCAGCTTGCAGCACTTTTGCCTGGCGTTGTGTCGATCCTCAATTCTGGAGGGAGAAGATTGTACCTAGTGTCTGTTCTTTCATTTTTTCCTTGTTGAGCCGGCTGCACAGGAGACACTCTCAAGGGCGTGCAGGGAGTGAGTGTGTGTGTGTGTGCATGCATGTGCCGTGTGTGTGTGTGCTGTGTGGCTGGGCGTTCGTGGGCGTTCTTAAGGGGTGCGTGAGCGCTTCCTAGCGCCCGAGTGCCCCATCCAGATTGTTGGACGGGGGGAGGCCAGAGGCGCCAGCCCGCTTGATGGACACCATGATTTTGAATTTGATTCTTTTCCCCGTGCATCAAGCAAGCAGGGAAAGAAAACGATGCCGGTTTCACACTGGGCTCTTGGGCGCATCCAGGGCAGTTTCGGCGCCGGCGCCTGCCTGCGCCAATGCGAGACCCCCTGGAGGGTGTCAGACCTTGGGGGTAGCCCAGAGGGCCCAGTTGCGGTGCTGCTTTTTGTGTACCATTCATAACCAGACCGAGTGGACCCAGGACAAGCAGTGCTGTGAAGAGAGTGTTATTCCTTGAGAGTGGCGAGTTAAGGAATCCCAGGGTGGGGTGGGGGCTTAGTGGACTGGACTTGACCACGATCCGCTTTGGGAGCGGGGCCCTGAGTTTGAGGCTTTCGGGGTTTGCAGCGATGCTTGGTGCAGGATTAGGTAACCTAACCTGAAGTAGCCTTAGGTAAGCTTACTTGGTTGGGCAAGGCCATGCGGATGAAAGCTGTGGCTCCCATGTGTCGATCCGTGCCTCGGCCAGGGATGATAGATGTGAGAGTGATTCGTGGGCACCAGGGGGCATGGAGTGGGGATCAGTGTGCGTGTGTACTTTTGGTGCTGCTTTACGCCTGCGCAGGGATAGCGGATGGGTGAGCTCACGTGGTGATGCCTTGGTTGGAATAATGACTGTGTACGTTCAGATATTTGATTGACCACGGCATGACTGCCCAGAGGGTGACTTCTGCCCTTCAGCCTTTTTGGGTGCAGTTGCACCCAATCAGCCATGGGAGCCAGTCGGTTTGGTGAGCGTTGACACCCTGGAGTTGGTGTGGCTTTCGTCAGTGACATGCACCATGCTCTCCTCAATGCCAAGGCCACGCAAAGTTCTCCCCTCAAGTGGCTGCAGACCATTGCAGCAGCAGTGGCCCCACATCCTGAAGGAATCCTGAATGGGTCGTTCTTTTATTGCATTTAAAAATGTCATCCAACAGTCTCACACACCACATGCCTATAATCACACAAAGGGATGCGGCAAGGCGTCCAGGGCACTGCATGGTTGACAGTGCAGTGTCTTCACGTGCACGATGGTTATGTCCATACCTCAAACAGAAACAATGGAACAATGGCTACCTGAAGACAAACGAACAAGAACGAATTCAGATAAAACGTGGGCCAGCTGGGCAAAGCTTCCGTGCCTACGAGCCAGCGATGAATGTGTGCAGGATCGAGGGGTGCCAACCCGTGAGGGTTGCCCCTTTGGGCCTGAGTTCAAGCCAACGTGTGACAGCATAGCAAAGGCCCTCTTTGGGGGCAGCTGCCTCAATACAAGGTGATGTCACAACACAGGCCCAGTCTGGATTGCATGTCATACCACTGGGCCAGTCTGCACCGCTCAGCTTGATGGAGCAGCACCCTTTTCCTGTTGATACACTGGGTTTGGGCTGGGACTATGTCGGAGACAGGCATGGCCACGGGCTTGGAGGCACGGCTGAAGGAACAGAGTTGCAGAGAGATCACTCACAGGCATGTCTCTTGATGCTCACACAACCATCCGCCTGTCATGGACCAGTCACCATCGTTTCACTGAGCAGTATTCTTGTGGGAATATTGCTGTGCATCCTCCATAGAAACGATCAAGGTGTGGTCCTTTAATCAGTTGCCCAGCAATGCCCACCCACCCCGTTGGGTGGAGTAGTTAAAGGATTGGACTGCGCCTGGCCGGTGGTTTGGTAGGGAGGGGAATTGCATCAGATGTGCCCGGTTCGATCCCCGGCCCTGCCATCCTCTTCACCATCTGCACTGTGGGCGAGGGCGCTGAAACGGGAAGGATTGGATTGCAGTACAGGCAGCCAATGTCTATATAGCAGCCAGTGATGTCATCAAGATGTTCATTTGTTCATTTAACACCCGCAGCACTAGAACACCGTGTCCGGGTGTCAGCCCTGACTCGACATGCCATTTTGTGGGCGTCGAGTCAGGGCTGACACCCGGACACGACCTTTTATTCGCTAGGGGCATTAAATGAACAAATGGACAAATGAAGGCATGTAATTAGTCGCACTATCTTTTTGTGTGGATCCCATCTTGTTTCCTGACACCCTGAACCCTAAACCACTGGCCCACTGACCCACTGGCCGGCGATGGCCTTGTCAGCGGAAGAATGGATTCTTCACTGAAAAGACAGATGGACTAATACACCCTCCACAAAACCGTTTCTGGCCACTGACCCAGTCAAGGTGTGGGCCGCCCCCCCTGTGTGCTGAACGCGAACCCTCCGCACGAGAACGCGAACCAGGGCCCGCCGCAGCCACACCCCAACGAAACGCAAAAGTGAAGATCCATCCCGCGCAGATCGCGACCTATCGCTTGCAGGCGCTCGGCCTGCCCAATCCCGGGTGACTGCTCGGCCGAGCATCCGGGGCGTGTTGACTTTGGCGGCTTTTGGACATAGGCAGCGATGGCCGACGGGGATGGCGCGGAGGGCGTGGAGGCGCCCGTGGACCTGTCCTCCGGGGAGTGGTCCGATCCCAGCAACGACAGGTGGGAGGCTCCTCCTGGCCTGGGCAGCCCCTGATCAATTTTGTCAGGGGACTTCTGCTTCCTCTGGGGGCCGCGTGCACAGATTTGCGACTTCACGGATTTCCGAGGACTTCTGCCCTCGAATTCTGCCTGCCCTCGAATTCTGCTGTGGGTAGTCTCTTTTGGGCTGCAGGAGGTCCACCCATTTGCTCGAAACGGCCTCGGCGCCATCAAGGGCTCGTGCGCGGGAACGCCAAACGCCTCGCAGCGGCTGGACGCGCGCGTGCTTTTCCATCCTTGCCTTTTCCGAAACGGAGGCGCTGCTGGAAAGACTGTGGGCGCATTGACTCACTCGGTATATAACTGCTCGGCCGGGATGTTGTCCTCCCGTCTTGAGTCGCCAGAAGCACCGCGATTGGCGCAATGCGCATGTCCAACGGCAGCTCGCGGCTGCAGGGGCACCGAGCGCATCGGCGCACATCGCCCGCAACCAGCCGAGCATGCCGACGCCCACTCCCTTTGTCGCGTTGCCGGAAGCGGCCCTGTCGGTGCGAAAGGGCTTGCGTGCATCACCTGGGACGCGCGTCCGCCCGTTGCTCCAGTCCGATCGGCCGCATTGGCGAACGTGCCCGGTACCGGCTCGCCGCTTCGAAAGGCTTGGGCCCATTGCCGCACACTCCTGGCATCAATGTGCTGCCTCGATGAACCTTAGAACATCCACACCTGCGGCTTGTGTGCCCCGCTGTTGGGTGGAAGGGTACTTAAGGGGTTGGACTCCCCTCTTCCTGCCCCTGGTCCAGTTGGGTAGGTGCATTGGGACGTCCCACCCAGGTGTACCCGGTGCGATCCCCGACCAGAAATCCTCTTTGCCATCCCAACTAAAGCACCCCCATGTCCAGGCGCGTGGTGGCGACGGACAGCGAGGGCTTCCTCTGCCGCATCACCCTCCGCGCCCGCCTGTCGCTCTCACCGGAAGAGACCTTCGCCGTCTTCACCAATCCAGACAACTCTTCCATCTTCCGCGACGTCTACGGCGTGCGCCACCGCCACCTGGTCTCCGACGACGGCCAGGGGGTCAAGGTCTTCGAGGTGGAGCAAATCTCGGGATTCAACTTCGTGGCGATACCGATCCGATTTTCAACCCGCCTGTTCGTGGAGCAGGACGCCCGAGCTATGAGGGTCAGCTTCCGCCTGGCCAGGCCGGGCAACATGAAAGAGCTGAACGGCGTGTGGACGATGCTGCCCGTGGATAGCCCGGTGGGAGGCACATTCGTGACGCTCGAGCAAGACGTTTTGCCGGCATTCGTGCCCCCCCTCCTAGGCAGATTTCTGAAAGGGATCTCGGTGAATGCCGCGCGGAGAATGCTGGAGGACCTGGACGCGGTGGCCGCCCGCGTGCGCGGCGGCGAGCCCCTGGACGCCGTGCTCGGCCGAGAGGCAGAATTGGAAGAATCGAATCAAAGCAATGGGTTGGAAGAGTTGGATCGGGGCAATGGATTGGCATCGGATGGGAAGCAGCGGACGGAGGGAGAGGGGTTGGGGCGAGTGAGCGCGATCCGCACGATTGATCGGTGCCGATTGCATCGGGGGGCCCTGTCAATGCGGGGGGATCTGGTCCACCGGATGCAACGGATGGGCCCGAATAGAGGATGGGTGGTTCGGTGCGGGGCGGCATGGGGCAAGGTTAGTTGCACTCCGAGAGGAAGGCAACTCTGCAGAGGGCGGCCCTTCCCAAGCAAATGCGTGTGAGACTCTACACCGGCTTCTTCAACAGCGCGGCAGAGTCCCAGCGTGAACACGAGCAACAGAAAGGGCAAGAAAACATGCACTCCCATTGGGCCCGAGGTTCATGAATCGCGGGGCGGGGTGATCGACAGCGGGGGCAGGTGCGTGTGGTGCCGTGGGCCGCCAGGGTTGGGGTGGCGTTTGGGCCAGCTGTGTGGGGAGGGTGAAAGTGGCGATTGGGGGATACGGGAGGCGGGCTGGTGCGGGACGGCCTGTTTGCCTTGGGTGCAAGATGATCTGGCGGGTTGGGGCGGCGATATATCGGGGTGCGCGTTATATTGAAGCACTGCGCCGACTGAGATTGTTACAAGGAGAAACAGGTCATGAGAATGGCACCCTTTCCTGAGCAAGCGTGCGCGAGACTCTTTTCCCTGCTATGAGAAGATGATGTGGAGTTTGCAGTGGAACAAGAAGAGCACACAACACACACACCGTGGAGTGCGAGAAAACATGCACTCAGCAGGGCGTTGCAGCAGGTGGGCGTTACATGGAGGCGTTACAATGGAAGTGGGGGGGGGGGCTGGCTGGGGGCCACGTGACGTTGGGATGTACGTTGCATGGTGGCACAGGGATCGTGTCCTTTCCAAGGAGGCGTTTCAGGGATGCCCATTGATGTCTCAAGCTGGGGGCGCTCTTGACACATGCTGAATCAAGCTTAATGTTTGCAAAATGCTGCATGCATTCATGGAGTTTCATTGATTCATTCATGAAATTTTGAATTCTACATACCAAGGCAAGCAGGTAGCCCCCCGCTTCCTGCTTTGCTAGGGAGAAGCGGTGAAGCGCCACCGGTGCCCACTATTTGTTTTATTGAAATTCCAAGTACGGCACAAACAAAACCCAGAATCCACCAACCCCTAATTTCCTAGGAGCGACTGTCGACGATAAGACCTTGAAACAAGTGTTTTCGCCAATTGACGAGTAGGGAAAGAAGCGAAAAGGGGATTTTCAATACTTTGCCGAAAAGCTTCGATTGGGGCGAAGGCCATATCCTCTGGCACGCCTTAACTCGGCGATGATAATCACTCTGAAGAGCAATACGAGGGCGATTCTTGTCACTCTTAACACTTGGTAGCAAGCTCATACCCCCTCCTCCCCCTTTCCTCGGTGTCCCTTTGGCGATGTTGTATCACCCCGTGGCTACATGTTCGTTCCCCTGCAGTCGATGGTTCTCATTGGCGATGGGAGGCGGTGGCCCAGGTTCAAGGCCAATACCGATCAAAAAAGACGATTCGGGAGCGCCTGCCGGTTGCAGATGGCACTAGCACAAAAAGGACCAAACAACACTTTTTGCGAACACATATATATGCAGTGTTCTGCATGCTAAAACCACGAAAATAACCCAAACCCATAAACTTTGTGCACATTTGAACACGTGTTATTTGGGTTTTTTTCCTTGTGTGGCACCAGCACAGCCATTACAGCACTGCCCAAATACAAGTATCCGGCTGCAAGCTCAACGCTCAAGGGAGCTTTGGACAAACCAGTGGGGGTTTGGGACCCAGAGAAACGAGAAACTCTACTTGGCTTCTGTCGAATTTGTGGCAACTATGCAACCCCGCATCGTAGTACATCTGGACACTGTTCGTTTCGGCATCAATTTGACGTCAAGTGTGAAGAATCATCCTGGGGTCACGCCGTGTGATGTAGCAAAACTAAACCCGAGGGTGTTTAATAGCATATATCAGCATGATGCTGGTTGTGCCAATTGTTGGAGTTGCCCAAGCCTGAGATCCGGAGGAGACAGCGCCTCTGCGCCGTCTTTGCACCACATTGGGCGTTTGCTTCGCAATTACTGGCTGCCGAGGATCAGCAATAGACAAGGCGTGAGATTCAAGGGGACAGCATGTATGTTGAATTTAGAGCTTGACTGATTTTTTACCTTTCAACAATTTCTCCATGCGTGCCCACAACCAAGTTGGGGAGCACTTCGCAAATCCCCTGATGAGTGTGTATTTAGAGGTTGCTTTGAGGTGCATGCAATCCGTTTCCAAGATTCCAGCATCAGAGATCGATTTCAGGCTTATATTGGAAAGGTGGATCGTTGTGTACATAGATCAATGCAATGCAAATGCGCCAAAAATTTTTATTGGCACAACGGGCTGTGGATGCTCCAAAAGCGGGCTGCAATGGCAAAGGGACCTTGCATATGGAGCCAAAGGCGTGGTGGCACGGTCAATCGGAATTTGGGCACAGGCCGACGTTTGGGCGAGGTCCCTAGCCACGAGGTGACATCTGATAGCTGGCATCCTCGAGCGACCAAACATACGTAACTTTGGAATGCAGCATATTTTGCACGGATTCTCTCAAACTCTGGCGGAAATGGGTGGACCAACCGGCCTAAAGCAACAGCACCTTTCGACAAGAATTTAGGGTTGCCTCAAGCCCCTTAACTTACATTTGATACACATCGACATAACATGTCCAGATATGTATTCCTAATGGACGAGCGATGCAGTGCTCCTATCCACCATGTTCAAAGATCCAGAATCACGTAATGGCCAAACTTGCCCTGTAAATTGCCAACACGCCTTGAGGTCTTGAGCTGCCAATTGGGCGTCAGTGCCGAAACGTCGCTTGAAACGGTCTTGTACATGTGGTGGTCAGTAGGCCGGATGGCGTAACGTCGCCAAAGGGGCACCGCTTGGCACCGAGGGCGGGCTTCACTCTCTGATAAATTTAGAGGAAACAAGCACAGCTCGTTACGCCTTGTTGCTGTGTGTGCTCAAGAAGAAGTGCACAATTCTTTGTTTGGAGGTCTTGAATGTGTTGAATGACGTGATGAAGGTGCTGACTGATGTGTTGAGATGGCGTGCATCGTAAGACAAGTGGCTTGTGGGTGGCACGGGACCCATTTTGCGATTAAGGACGCCTCGCTCTGTTGTGTGGTGGGCGTATGGGATGGCCGTGGCGATTGAGAAAAATGGAGGAGGTCGCCTAACACAGAGAACTGCCTCTCGGTGAGTCATCGCAAATTTTGTGAGTCAGCGGCCACTGAAACGGAACGGCGAATCGCACCGTGCATCTCACACACAGAACGGCGGGAGTTTTGCTTCCCAATGGCATCGATGCACGCTGTGTGACGTGAAATTGCACTGAACGAAGGACGAAGCACAGGTCAAGAACATTGAAAGACTTAAAATTGGAACAAAACGAGTGGAGACCATCAGGAAAAGACCCAACGTGTTCATGAGTGGAGGCGTGTATCCTCCCATCCATACCTTGTGTGACCATTGCGCATGTTGATTTGCTATTTAAATTAAGGCAACCAAGAAAAGACAACGAGAATGAGAGCTCAGTTTAAAACTCAATGGCGGTGGTGATAATCTGAGGGACCGACTGGAAGAGATGGTTGTACTACATCTGCAGGTGCATGTGGGCAAGTGGAAATGAGTTTGGAAATAACATTGTGGATGCAGCCTTGCGCGCCACGGCACCACAGATCCACAAGCATGCGCATGGGCACGGGGGGATTTGTTTTACGCTGAAACCTGACTACAGTGCCAAAAATTGTATCCAATATCATCAATTTTTATAACGCACAGAATGACTGCAATCGTGGTAATCATTAAATGTACTTCGCGAAGTACATCGTTTTCAATGCTTACAATAATCATTGTGAAATTGCATTCGTATTGCTGTTGCGGCAACGAAATGTGCGACTACAATGGGCGCGAGGCAGAGGGTGATCTGAGAAGGCCCGAGGCTCATCCGTCCACCAGAATATGTCACCCGTTTCGCACAGCCTTTGACTGTGTTCAGATTGTGCTAACATGGGACCAATTGTCGCACCTTAACTTCAAAGCGCGTCAAAACAACCAAATGCTGTTGCCTCAGCGGGGTCTTTGATGCAGCCAGGCCCGCCCACCCTCCCCCACCTGCAGCCGTCTCTTCCTGTGTGCTGTGGGCTCCGCGACCCGCAACCCCGTGTTATGCCTCCGCCGGGCCCACGGCGGCAGCAGCACGAAGAACGCCGCCAGCGAGTCCGGGTCCACCACACCCCACTGGTGGCCGTCGCGCCTCAGGACGCACTCCTCCGCGACCAGGCTGCTGGCGGCCAGGTGGTTCATGTAGCTGTGAACGTCGCCCTCGCGAGACGCCGCGTTGCTGTCGAAGGACACCACCAGGCCGCCGGTGCTGCCGTCCACGAAGACCTGCGGCCGTTGCAGAGCGTCGCGCACCTTTTATGACTTTGCGAACGTGAGGACGAAAACGATACGGATAGTAATAGTAAAAACAAGCCAAAACACACGGTTTTCAAGGTCGTGTAGCAGCAATTGAGTGAGTGTACACGATTTTCGCACATTTTGAAACGGTTTTACGCCATTTCTCCTCGACTTGATACCGTGTGCTTTAGTCAAATTTTTGCTCGTGTAAGTGTTGTGTGATATATGTGCTTTGATGTGTGAAATTGGATATGTTTCATGTGTTTTAAATTACGGTGAAATGTACAGGGAGGCAACGGAGGCACGAACGAACGTGATTGCAGTGAATTTTATTTGAGTGGTCCGCTCATTTTGTGATGCATCTGCTTGCGCCTTGGCTGTCCGTGCTTGGGCGCAACCATGTGCACGAATGTTGTAGTTTTGTCCCAGCACTATGACAATAATTGTGAGTATTGGTGAGGGATGAGTATTGTAGTGTGGATTGCAGCTGTGCAATACACTGTGTGTTGTACTGTGTATTGCACCAATTGCAGTGTACATTGAGTAGTGTGTATTGCACCAGTGAGTATTGGTGAGCAGCAAATCCCAGGTCGTTTGGATTGCGGCAATGTCAGAGGCTCGTGTGCGACAAGTTGGTTGTAGTCATGTCAGTGGATTCACACCAGCCATCCCTCTGGGCACCATGCTGGGCGAATGTGCCACTGGTGTAGCAGCTAGCAACACGCCGAGGGGCGCATTATCCCAGTGCAGTGATCGATTGTTGATGACATAGTTGCCCCCGGTCTTCCACTATGGCCG